ACGACAGTGTTTGGCCATCCGATCACCAGAGTAGGGCTTTCTCGCAACCATTGCCAGTAGTCTATTGTGGAGGTATCTTTGTGGATTTCTGGGGACCTCTCTAGCACTTTGCTTCTTCTGGCGCAATCGGTTAGCGCGCGGTACTTTATATGACTTTTACCCATGCTGGGATGAACTTTTTGGTGATGTAGCTGCTTTGAGTCGTCCGTCCTCCTACAAGTAACCCCTCACCTGTGCTGTTGTAATTCCAGGAAATTACTGGTTTACTGAACTGGACTTGGGTGGAATAGCTATTTTGGTCTGTCACCAGTGCCCTGTCTGGAGTGAATAGGCAGGTGTTCTATTCTCCCCACAAGTCACACAGCAGTAGATATTTTGATTCCTCAGAAATTTGAAAATATGTCAGCTCAGGATTTCAGGTCCTGTTGGCCTTTCTAGAATTTTTAACAGTCCTCTTATTTCCTTTCTGTTACACAAAAGCATTACTACTTTGATCATTTGTTGAGAATCCGCATTGACTACCAAGCTTTGTGCAGGGCACTTTATATTATTTTCTCATTAGTCTATAGACTCCCTCATTAGACATTAATACTGTTTAAATTCCCAGAAAATAAACCCTCTAGTAAGGGTGTGATTTACCTGGTCAAGCTGCACAGCTGCAAGGGTAGAGTCAATGTTTAATAAGTCTCTCGGTGACTGCTGCTGTTCCTCTGTGTTCTCTCCATACACATGCTCCGATTTGTTCCACATGGCTGTCAGGTGGTTAATGGGAAAATGCCTGGGTAAGGGAACCAGCATCAGTTAAAATCCAGCTGGCCTTCTGTTTCTTAGGCTGTGGACTATGGCAAGGGACTCTACCTGCTTGGAGAAGGCGTGGGCAATACTTTTTCTAATTATGTTTCTAGTTTCAACCTTGCACTACACAATCTGTGTCCTTTGTCTTTGCTCATGCTATTTATGGCATCTTTCAAAACACCCTTTTAGGGACTTCTCTGGGTGTCTCAATCCCTTTCTTGTTTTGTTAACCATAATTTAAACGATGTTTCTCACAGGAAGCTTGTCTTCTTATCTGCCACTACCCCAGTCCCAGTGCCAGATATAGCCCTCCACTAGCTAAACTTCCATAACATTTCAGTTATAAATAACCTGTAGAACATGTATTAATGTCTTCCTTACATTAGAATTATATATGTACATTACAGACTCTGTTAATGGAGAAGCATGTTTTAGAGCATGGGCCAGACTTTTCCAGACTCAGTTACTATGTATTCGTATGTGTTTATTGTACATAGGAAGCACTCAGTAAATAGTTACTATATAACTAATTTAGAAGATGGTTGTGGTCTGTTTTTCTGTACCAAGTAAGATTTGATCATGCATTTCTTTCTAATATTTATGTGAGAAGACATTCATATGTTTCAAAGTTTATCTTTCATATCTATAACTAGCTTTTCATTGCAGGATTTATTTCCAAGCCTAAAACTATAAAAAATGTAGAAGAAGATCTATATCCATCTTCAGAGATATTTCATCAACATACTAGAGTACAGATTTTTCAGTTTGTGACTCTTTTGTGGATGTTGGAATTTTTCCACAAATAAAAGCTTCAGGAATCATCTCTGTTCAAAGTAAACTAGAAACTCAAATATATTGTAGCAATCTTAAATTACTTTACTTGTTACTAAGCAAGTACTAAGTATAATTTTTCCTCTGCTTCTATCTGCTTTATAATCAAAAGGGAAAATAAATTTGCCAGTCATCAAAAACACCTGAAAGACACAAAAGTCTCATGAGGAATAATCAAAATATTAGGGATTTTAATATATGTCATTCTGGAATTGTATTCTAAGTGACTTGAAATGTGTCAGGAAATAATGTTGGGTTCTGAGGGGGAAAAAACTTAAGCAAAACTATGTGGCAGTTTTTAATGAAAGCATAAACTTAAATAGCTAGTAGGTTTAAAGACAGCTTAATTTATGTTTTGGGAGGCAGGGGTGAGGCTATGGAGAGGAGAGGGAGGAGAGAAAGTGGGAGAGAATGAACACAAGAGAACTGTATTTGCTTTTAATGTAGATAGACACTGTTCATAGTGTCAGGCTTCCTCACTGATGATGTTTCTGGCCTCATCTTCCAGCTGTGCTCTCTGACATGAGCAGTTGTCTAGAATCAAGAGTGAAAGTCTCTAATCAAAATATATTGGAAAGGGTATGATCCACCAGAGTTTTTCTTTTAACACTGCAGACAGTAACATAACTCTAGATTCTTAACATAAAAAGATAGGTTTTTAGAAAGAGAGAACTGGCCGGGCGGTGGTGGCGCACGCCTTTAATCCCAGCACTCGGGAGGCAGAGCCAGGCGGATCTCTGTGAGTTCGAGGCCAGCCTGAACTACCAAGTGAGTTCCAGGAAAGGCGCAAAGCTACACAGAGAAACCCTGTCTCGAAAAACCAAAAAAAAAAAAAAAAAAAAAAAGAAAGAGAGAACTGTTCAAACTCTGGCATGTTTGTCAGGCAGCTCCACAATATTTCCTATACTGCTTTCTTAGACTGTATTTAGCGATTCATATTTATTTATGGATCTGATATGTACACCTATGTTTTATGTTTATTAACTCTCAAATAAATCTGTACCTCTTTTAGTCATGTTTTCTGTGCCTTTTTTAGTCACTTGTCAGGGTGATTGTTACTATAAGTCATGGGGTTTGCACCTAAGTACTAACATTAAACTGACCCCTAATGACTTACTGGTCTACCCATCGTTTAGTGTATCTTTCAGCCTCAGAGGTACTTGTTTTTGCAGTAGATGGCGTTTACAGAGACCCATAAGGAGCCAAGGTGCAGGAAATAAGAGACAGTGGAGTACCCAGTCCTAAATGGGACATCTATATGACACCCCTTTCTCCCAGACTCAGGGACCAGTGCAAAGCAGGGATGGAAAGATTACTGGAGTCTGAGGCAGTCAGTAACTATAGTGAACAGTGTTTTCTGAACACAACAGGACGTTTACATATGGGAACTCACAGTGGTTGTGACAGCGAGCTAGTTGTGCAAGCTCAAGTCAGATAATATCCCAGCATGCAGTGGGAGGCCGGCACAAGGTCTCACCCCTAGTGAGGAGTGATTGGCATTTGGTAGCTGGTGGGGAAGTGGGAGTCCATTTTCTTTAAGGGTGTGGCCCTTGGTAGGTCACACTCAAGAGTTTAACACAAATTGGACTTGAGGGTGTGAACAAAACACAGTTGTGTGGGTAGAGGGAAAGAGCAAGAGTAGGTGAGTGGGTGAATATAATCAAAATACATTTGCATAATTCTCAGAATCCAAAAAATTATAAATGACAATAGACATTAAAGGTTTTTTTTAAAAAGAAACTTAATGCATGGGATTTGTTAGAGTATTAAAAATTATAGGCTATAAAATAATTCCTTTGTTTCTTAACTACTTATCTGTGAGAGGACAGATTTTCTTCTTATACTTTAGGAACAGTAACACATTGTAGCAGATTGGATGCCGCCAGCCATTTGTAACTTGGAAAAGTATAAAGCAGTGTTCTTTGATTTTTTTGAAAAAAAGTATAGTTTTTTTTTTTGTAAAAATGTACCATTTGTGTTAATACATAGTTATTATTATTAAATGAGTTAATTAACTATTTTAACTTCTAATATAACATGCCAGTGTCTATTTTCTTCACATTAGCAGGAACTCCTTTTGATCTTTAGTTCTACTTAAGTGTGAAGATGACCTGAGACCAAACAAATTGATAACTTCTTATAGCTAATTCTGCCTTCATCTTCAGACAGCATATTCCTTTATGAGCAACAGACCAGAAAGTTGTGAATGGCACACCAACTTCTGTTGCTATCTTTATTTCCAAATAAGTGGTAATAGTTTGCCATGGCTGTACTGTTTGTTGCTTCTAATGGCACTTTCCCTTCTCTTCTCTCCTGATGTGTGTTCAGACCTTTTATTTTTCCCAGGAAGCTTTCTTAAGAAAAACACTGGGGACTTTTGCAGAAGTGGTCAATCCTTACCTTCTTAACTGGTTCCTCATTTTCTTATATTCAAAGATTGTTGAGAGGACCATTCATTGTGTAAGAGGATTTCTGCAGTGGCTTGAGCTTGTGCAGTTGTTTTTATGCTATTCTGAGTGGTGATTCTGTTTCTGGGAAATCATTAATCACTTGAATAAAAAATCATTAAGTTTGTCATACTTGATCTGAAAAAGATTTATAAAGATGTTAGCCAAAGGAAACTTATTTAGACTTTCAAATTTGAATCCTATTTATATTTTTTTTGTTCAGTTCAAAGAGTCCATGTACCAGGTGGCCAAACTAAACTTCCAGAAATCAATTTTAGACAAACGATACTTATGCTTTGACTGTGTGGTCGCTCCCTCTTGCGTCATTTTGTCCTTCCCACTCTCTACCTGTGGTGCCTCTTTTCCCTCTCTCCATCCTCTGCTCCCCTAATGTTCTTAGCCACGTTATTTCTGCACTTAAATTCCAGGGATAGAAAGAAGTTTCTTGCAGATGTGATTGCATTTTAAAATTTAGGCTTTTGTAATCATAAAAATTTAGGCTTTTGTAATCATAAAAATCAGACAAATATGTTCTCATTTTTGGTCTTTGATATTTCCAACTAATATTTTTGGTAGTTTTGAAATGTGTGTGTGTGTAGATAAGAGTAATGAGACAACTTGGTATTTTGTTTTGTTTTGTTTTTTTTGATAATTGAATTACATGGAAAAAGTAAAACCAATAACTTCTCCCTGTAGCAAGTTAAACAAGCTCAATAGAAATATAATTTCTGGATTATATTTTATTGTAATTTTGAAATAAAATAATACAGTCTTTGCAAATGTTGAAGTTCTTGAAGTCTTGTTTTGAGGCCTTTATAATGAAGTCTCTCATTTAGGAATATCAGAAGAATATTCTATTTGAATCTATCATGAAACATGACTATTATCAGATGACTTCTTATATCATGATTCTCTGTGTTGTCTTAGGCTAGAGATGAAGAGGAAGCCTTTCTGGACTGGAGTGATGAAGATGAGGGTGGGTTTGATCCCAGCACACTTCCAGATCCAGATAAGTACAGAAGTTCTGAAGACTCTGAGAGTGAAGATATAAAACCTCAGATGAGGTATGTTCTTCCCTTAGTGAGTGTCATGAAATACAAATTTCACACATAGCTTCCTCCTATCATAATGAATTCAGTGACTACTGAACTATTACTTCAAGAGGTTTTTTTTTAACCTTTAATGTCCTATAAAATCTACTTCTACTTGTTTTGCATGTGTCTCATACTCTTCTGATCATTTCAAGGACTTTGATTAATATTGCATTTGTAATTCCTGTTATCACATATAGCTGGTACATGAATTCTGTTTTCTTATTCTTTCCTTTTTTTTTTCCTCCTCCTTCTTTTTTTTTTTTTTTTTTTTTTTTTTGGTTTTTCAAGACAGGGTTTCTCTGTGTAGCTTTGCGCCTTTCCTGGAACTCACTTGGTAGCCCAGGCTGGCCTCGAACTCACAGAGATCTGCCTGCTTCTGCCTCCCGAGTGCTGGGATTAAAGGCGCGCGACACCACCGCCCGGCTCATTCTTAATCCTTTATACTTGAGTAGTTTATAAAGTAAAGTAAGTACAAACAGGCGGGGTTTTATTTTCATCAACTCTTGGTGGATTTTGATGAAAATGCTATGAAAAAAATTATTGCTGAAAACCTGGGTGTGGTGGTACATACCTGTAATTCCACCACTTAGGAGACTGAGAAAGGAGATTCACCATAAGTGAAAGACCATCTGGGGCTATACAAGTGAAGTGAGATCATGTCTTTAAAAAAAAAATTGGGCTTGTGAGGTGGGTCAGCAGATAAAGGTACTTGCAGTCGTTTGATCCCAGAGAAATACATGGTAGAATGGTAGAACTGACTCCAGTAAGTTGTCTTCTGACTTGGTTCTATACAGTTCAGAGACTAATCTACAATATTATCTCGGGCATGCCTCTCTAAGGCAGCCAGATGAAGTTCCTAATAGAGGAGTCCCAAGCAGGGCAAAGTATCGCCTTGGGCAGGACTCCCAAGTAAAAGGACAAATAGCAACACATAGTGATAACATGGTCAGATCTGCCCCTCACAGTGTCCAGCAGAAACTGACTGGGGAGGTGTAAGCAGTAAGCTGGAGTTCCCAATTGCATTTTCTCTCCATGGATGAGCTTCTCACGGCAGAACTTGTCACTCATCTTTCCACTGCAGGCATTTTCATGTTAAAGTGTACACACTAGTATCCCACCTCTGTTGGAAATGGTTTATCTTCTAGCTGTTCTCAAGGGTGCAGTATTTTTACTCTTGAGCCTTTGCTGTCGTCACAAAGTTGGTTTGGGGTGCCCATCCCCAGGTGAGGAGTCTTAGAGGACTCTTGAACAGTCTCAAATGGCACCAACAGTCTTCCAATATAAGGTATATTACAGGCCCCCTCACATGAGCACACCCTCTACAATCTCCCACACAAATGAAAGAATGAGTGAATACATAAACATAATTTTTTAAAAATCAAAAGCCTCTGAAATTTAAGAAAGGAAGTTACACTTTGACATTTTTTTCATATCAGCAAATAAAACAATAGAAATTTTCTATGTAAACAGTCACATTCTTTCCATTTAAAACCTGTTCATTTGACTGTCTATTATCTATTTGCCTGTATGCCAAAATTAAGTGAAATGTGGTAAATTGAATAATGGTGTGACTTACTCAGCATTTTTTCCCCTAGAGTACTGTGTATTATAATAAGCTTATATTGAGTTTTTAGGTTCATGGTTTGTCTAAATCACAGAATAGAAGTTAGATAGCAATGACAGATAAAGTTAGTATTCTTGATGTGAAGACAGTCAATGGTTGATGGAACCCTTCAGATGCTAGCCCAGGGAGTCTAGAGTTGAAGTAATAGGCCACAGAAAACAGTAATTTGTTTTTAACCAAGAACAACACTTTACAAAAATTCTCAGAAAGATTATCTTCTTGGAAAAACATGCTGTAGAGAGACACTGAGTTAGTCTTTATTCAAACTGTGTGCTTATTGATAAAAGGAGAAATTTACTTATTTAAATGTACTGATGCCAGAAACTTCAGGGACTTGCTATTGGGCAACTAGCTAGTAAATATACCCACATTTTAGAGTGTTTCCAGATGCTAAATGACAGGCATATTAGTTTTACTAGTGCAAAAACCACCAAGGGTAAAATAGTTTCATCAGGCTTTAGAAAAATACGTAGATTTTGTGCTGTAAGAGTAAGTGATTTAGTTCAGGCTGTGTTCCTGATATTTAGAAGTGACTTCTGAAAGTAAATCTGCACACACTGCTTCAGAAAGTTCCTTGGTGCTTGGGTGTAACAGTCTAAATGGTCCACATGTTACCTTAATGTTCTTGTAGAAAGGGACCCCCCCCCCCCCCAGGTGTATAGGATCTCTCTTTTGATAGATGTAGTTTGGCTTACAGCATGACTTCAGCTGTTTCTGTGTAATTTAACTCAGTGAGAGAGGGTCATTTGGTTCTTACAGTTTGTTCTGCAGTCATATTTTGTATGGTTGCTTGACACTGCTTTAAGATAGACCAAACCTTCCAAGGATCAGCAGTCCTTCTAGAAGGACTCTGTTAATCTCGTGTGTGTATGTGTTTGCGTGTGTGAACACATGTAGTCTAGTCTTCTCTTCTTATAGATAAAGAAACAAAACCTTTAAGGGATGGAATAATTTATGTCCATGATCACAAAAAACATTAGTGTAAATGAAGCACTGATTCCCTAGTTTTACTTCTTCAGTCACATTACGTGGGACTGCCGTGACCTGTAGAGAAGTTGGTCAGGAAAACTGAAGACACATTTGATGATACTTGACTGAAGACCTGGGTCCATGTACTGACTAGCTTTAGGATTGTTGGTATTCTTGTTCAGGCAATACAGTGTTTGGGACAATGGGGGCTATAGGTATTAACACTGTGTGTGGTCACCAGGAGTAGCACATCCCTAATCTCTGAGTTGAGATCAAAACTGTCTTTAGCTATTGCTAGGTGCTGCTTGGGGGTTGGGTAGGAGTGTTTATAGTAGTTCAGAATCACTGGACTATGTAGAAATTCGTCCACAGGACTAGATTCGCTGGCAGATACGTACCACTGGTGCTTTATGTCCTTATGGGATATATGTTTAATTTATATTTCTTTTCAAGTAGCCCAAGTCATGTTTCTCAACATATCCTCTATCAATCAAGTGGAATTGATACACAATGTAAACCCTATTTATCATTCCCTAGACTAGAAAGCAGGGTTTATTATAAGGTACAAATAGTAGTCTATATTTAGCTAAAGTATTCAGAAGACTAAAGATAGTAAATTTAATAGTAATAATTGCTGAAGCTACTACTGTTTACAGAAATAATGTAGCCACAGGTGTCCTATGTTGTTCCAGTTGGGCTTCATCTTGTCTTTGCCTGTTGCCGACTTGATGATTACTAAGCTTTTGTGCTACCAGCTCTTGGGTGTTCTCCTTGCATGTTTACAGATTTACTTGCTGTGCTCTTTCTGGGCTCCACCAAGTATCAACAATTCTCATGCTGATCTGATTATCATGACTCTCAGAAGCTTATTTTTTGGATATAAACTTGGTGCTTCCGAAGATGAGTTCAGTCTTAAGGGACTCGATAGAACAATTAGAAAGTATCAGTTAGTCTTGAACTAGTATGAATTGGTTTCATTTGAAAGTTTCCTGTGCTTTGTTGCTGCTCATAAATATTCATTGTAAGTAACAGTTTTGTCTTTCTACATGGAAAGACACTTTGTCAGTAGGAAGAAGGCAGAAGCAGAGCCAGATTTAGTGAAGAATGACTGAATCTGTGGTCAGTAGTTCTTCCCCAGGGAGATCTGCCAGGATTTTAAAGTTTCTGCTTCTGTCCTTCTTCTCAGGTCATTGCACAGCTGCAGGAGAATTTGAACTATCCCCAGGCCTCTGTGGAGTTATCCAAAGTGATGTCTCTTGTGTCACTCCAGAGGGTTCTAATGTTCATCATTCAACCCCTTTAATTTAGCACAGCAGAGACACAGCTCTTGCTTAGTGTGGTCTCAGTAACAGTGAACATCATCTGGCCTCGAGTTCCTTCTAAGGCTCCAGCATGGAAGAGAGGGGAAGGGGATAAATATAAATGTACTCAGGTGTGAACTTTAAAAAAGCGTCCTAGTTTATCTTCAGCTGAAATGAAGGCAAGGGGCAGGAATGTGCTCATAATACAGGAGAGGCTGGTGCTGGGTGAGCCAAACTCTGCCTCAAGCCCCAAGTTTAGTGTATTCTTTTTCGTAGCAGATCCAAACAGAAAATCTTGCTTTTTTTCTCTGATTCGTTCCTCATTTTCATATGTTTTAAAAGATTGGTCCAATTTTCTCTGGCTTTTCCTCCTCTTTCCTTTTTGGGCTTGTGGAAGTAGTTTAGGTAGAATACATAGCTGTTAGGGTTTCTTTTTGTTGTTATTACTAAAACAGAGACAACACAAGTTCCTAGGAAAACTAGGACTTTGTTTTGGTTGACTTATTGGTGACGTTCTTCATTGGTCTGTTATGAGTGCACAGTCATTTGTTCTTATCTCTAATATGTTTTGAAGCTTCTTTATCTTGTAGCAGAAAAAGGCTAACTTAAGCAGTTGCCTTTGGGATCATAAATGATTTTCCTTTCAAGTAGCCCATGTATTGAAGTCACAATGCTTGAATGATAAAAAGTATTTATGTCAGTGGCTGAAACAACTATAGTAAGAATGTTTTGCATTGTTTAATCCACATTCTCCTTAATTTAAGAGCACTTGTCACACTTGTCGGAGACCCAGGTTCGGTTCCCAGCTCCCATATCAGGTGACTCACAGTTGCCTGTAACTCTGGTTCCAGGAGATATGTTGCCTTTTTTTGGCCTCTGCCAGCACTGGCACATAAATGGTACACGCAAGTACATGCACATAAACACCCACACAAAATTAAATAAAAAATAACGAAATACCAGATTTGCTAGTCTCTTGAATGTGTGTCATTTCTCTCCATACCTTCTTTCTACAAAGAATGGTTTAGTGCCTGACACGTGCTATCCATAATAAATGCAGACACAGCACAAAAGAG